ACAGAGGCATTTAACGTGTCAAGAGTAATACACTACCTAATAACGCTTCGCGTTTTGAGGCGTATATTAGTGTTCTATTACATTTTTCCTATATTTAGGAAAAGTATCATGAAAAATTAATCGACAGTACGACAGTTGGCATACCAAATAGTGAATTATAGATGTATGCCACTAGCATCCAATGACTTCCTCCTTTTTTTTCCAGGTCGTCACTCCATCTAAAGTCACTTCGCCAATGCCACTCGAGAACCTTTCTTCACCATCGGTTATTTCGATCTGATAGACGCACTGTTACTTCAGCTTTGGTTTTGGTACTTCTTCCATAAGCGGACCGGATCTGCGAGTGCTCAGAATACCATAATAACTCCAAAGCATTTTTGTTGGTTTCTCTTTTTTTTCGAACGGATATAATGAAGTTAGTTTGTCATCCTTTAATATTTTTATTATAGTAGACAGACAATATAAAGGATTTTCGTAAACTTTCCATCAAATTAACAAAGACCTCGTTAATCTTTGTAATGAATGATTGTATAAATAAATAAATGAACAAATAACTTTACTTTCTACGCGACTTCATTCAATAAAGGGGTGAAGCTGTATCTCAATATTTGCTTGACCGATTCTGACAAAACATTCACACTTCATTCCATTCCATTCTATTCCATTTCATTTTACTCTATTGTATAGGCTGCTACTATATATTTTTAAAATGTTTTGGCTGTGGCTGGGGTTCAGACCCAGGAGTCGGACTAGGAGCACTAGATCACGCTGACCATTCACCACAATCAAATAATACAGTTAACAAATCTAATAATATTTTCTGCCTTTTCCAAGATATTCTTCGACATCATAATTATATGTGCAAGCATCTTCGTCATCATTATGATAAAAAAGTTGGAAAACGTAAACTGGCCATAATCTCTATGCTTGGAACAGCCATTTCCAGTACAGCTTTAAGCGTATATGCGAGAAATAATTTAAATGACTCAGTATTTTCCTATGACGTCACAACAGAGTTATGTACCTTTGATTTTGTTTTACTCAATAGCTTCTTTTCTGGGTGTAACTTACCATGGATAATTGTCGGAGAACTTTTCCGCTTCAGGTAACATTAAAACTTTATTTTATTTGCCAACATATTTTGCATATAAAATTTACGTAAATCATTTCAATTTAGCAGTGATTTCTCAAATTCAACATAAACGCAAAGCATCGTTTATCGGCTACAGCATTCACTCACCATCGCGAGAACTATGCGCCAGTTATTTTTTTTAAATACTAGTAATGTTATTAAACATTACTAATATTCCCTTTAACCACTTCTGGTAAGTTTAAAAATGCTTGTGTTAGAAGTGGTTCACGACAGTAGTCGAATGGCGGATTCGAACCCACGACCTTTCGAGTTCGCGGTCCGCGCCTTGCCATTACGCTACTAACGCTTCTTTATTATTTATTTTATTTATTTAATATTCTTTATTGCACACCAAACATAAATTACAGAAATTATATGTATAATAGAAGTATGCAATGGGCGGTCTTATTGCTGACAGCAATTTCTTCCCGACAACCAATGAATGGACAGGATTGCACGAATATGACAAGAACAGGGCAAATTGGTGTTTTGGAGAAAAAAAGAGTTCAAAAAGAATAAACACATATATGTTTATATATACGCATACACATACTACAAACATATATACATACAAAAAATAAAATACACATATATTGAATTATTTCATTAATTAAATGAAATTGATATGCTACATATAATATTATATTTAACGGTTAGTCTAGAAGTGAAGTTAGAATTTAAAGTGCAAGGTAATGATTCTTAACTAGTTTTTCTTTTAAATACCGGTAGGGATGGTGCGCGTTTTACTGACAATGGGAGTTCATTCTATAAATGAACGTCCTGAACAGTAAAAGACTTGTTCATAGTGTATAGTATGTATAGTAGCAAATTCAACTTCAAGCTCCCTGCTGATCTCAAGTTACGCGAATGGGAATCACGAAGAAACTCAAAACGATTTTTGAGGTAAGAAGGATAAGAAGGATTAAAGAGAACACTATAGAGAAGATCAAATATGTGAGCATTCCGATGAAGTCGTATTGGCAACCACTTAAGCTTAGTACGAAAAAGAGATACATGGTCATATTTGCGCAATCCAAATATAAACCTTATGCAAAAATTCTGTATTCGCTCAAGTTTATCGAGCTGAGCTTCGGTGAGATCTAGATAGCTGACGTCCGCGTAGTCAAAAAAAGGGAAGAGAAGGGATTTGGCAGGCATAGTTTTGGTGGAAATGGGAAGAAAGTTACGTAATCTACGCAAGGAGGCTGCCGAGGCATAACCTTTGCGGTTAATTTCTTGGATATGCTGTCCCCACGACAGATTCTTATCTATGTGGATACCTAAGTTCTTTACTGAATATCTGTAAGGAATAATAGTTTTACCAACTACTATAAGAGGCAGGTAATATAGGCTCGACTTAGCCAACATTTGCGCGCTGCCCACGATAATGCCATTGCGATTTTGCTGGGATTTTGGTGGTTATTCACTCTTGCTTGCATAAAAGACTCTCTTTAGGAAACTGCATCCATAAAACCCCTCTCGGTTGCTATTTCTTTAAATGAATAAAATAATTAGATACCCTAACCTAATTTTTTTTTACGGGGGGAAATCCTCATGGTCTACCTCCGCCTGGAGAAAGGCGGAGGGGCGTGCTGGACTCTTACCGGCTAAAACCACCCCGATGTCTCCTCGCACGTGCGCGCGGGGCCGCGAGAATCCAAATTCTTCCGCAGCTCCACACTAGTGCTGGCCCGGTCTGTGCGGGCCTCGTCTCCTGCACGGGGTAGTGAGATGTTCAACTACCCCGTGTATCGCCTCAGGGGCGCGCGCCGACACCCGCGCGCGCCTCCGTCTCGGGTCCATCGAATAGGGGTGGCGGGGGCTTCCCCAAGTCCCTCGCCCTTGGACCCATTCATGGGGACTGGAAAAGGGCGTTGTCCGCCCTTCTCCTGCGCCCGGTGCGCCTTCTGCGGCCGGGGAAGGGAGTCGAGATCTCCCTTTCCCGTTCCGCAGTTTCCATCTGCAACATCACGTCCTCGCAGAAGGACACCACTGCGTCCCACGACTCTGCGCTACCGACCATCTTCCGTACTAAGGCCGGCAGCGACAGATTGCCTCCTACTTTATTTGTAAGGACACGGCGCTGCTCCTCCCAAGCTACACACTCGGCGAGCGTGTGTTGCGCCGTGTCTTCCCCGCAATGGACGCAGTGGTGGCACCGAGCGTCCAGCTCCCTGTCTATGCAGCACAGGTACTTGCCGAAGCAGCCGTGCCCCGACAGCACTTGCGTCACCCTAAACGACAGGGAGCCGTGCCTTCTCCCGAGCCAGACGTCGAGTACTGGCCGGATCGCCTCGACGGTAGCGAGGCCGGCGGTAGGGCGCAGAAGCCTTTGCCGCCATTCCGTCACCAAGACCTGACGGAGCTCCTCTCGGTGCAGCGCAATCTGCCGCTGCACCGGCCTCGAGTCCCGTGCCCGCTCTTGCTCGCGCCATCGATATAATGACGCGAGTACTTTCGCCTCTAGGTCCCAGGGCGAGGGTGTAGCGCTAGCCTTGAAAAGTACTTAAAGCTTGGACTTGCCTGATCTCTCTCCGGTCATGTCCGATTGCCGTCCCATCGGGCTATGACAGTGAAGGAATAGCGCACCTGTATTTGCGCATACACTCGCGAATAAAATTCAGTATTAGAGAATATTATTATTACTTACAAAATACAACGAAACCAATCTTTAAACCTTTAAATAAAGCCAACTATTACTTTTACCACCAGAGTTGCACAATCGCACTGCTGGATAGGCTGATTCTTGCTGGAAATATTGATAATAAGGAAACAAAGATACGCATACGATTCAAATACTGTAAATAAAAACACTTGCCTTCTAATTGTAACAATTATAGATTAATGTAGCTATTTGTACGTCCGACACAGCAAATAAAAATTAAGATTTTTTTTTATATAGGATAGGGTGACAAACGAGCACACAGTCCACCTGATGGTAAGTGGCGAGCCGACCCATTCGTGCTACTACTATACTACTAATATAGCTGCAGCATGGCTCTACCACGTATAAAAGAAAAAGATTGCTTGTTATCCACTACCCCTTATCGTTCTGTGGGTGTCGTAAGAGGGGGTAGAGGGAAAGAAGCCAGGAGATGAGTCAACCAGCCTTCCATGCGTGGCAGCTATGGCAAATATCCCACTATGAAGTGATCTACGGGGAGGCCTATGCTCAGTAGTGGACTTTTGATAGGTTGTAACTTTTTATTTAAATCTGTTACCTTTCTGTAACGTTAACGCTATCCGCTTTGTAAAATTCATAGCCCTCTTTTGAAGTTGGGATTTGCTTAAAACATGATGCGTGGATCTATATTAGGGTGAGGTGGTGGTGTCAAAGAATCCCCCACCCGATTTTGTTCCCTATATGTCATAAGAGGCTATTATGGAAAATTCCAAAAATATCGTAGCTTCTGATTAATAGCAGTGGAAAAATCGCGTTTAAAACAAACGTAAAATACCGAGACCGACACCGGGGGGAAAGGTGTGAATGCATTAGTAATAATGCAAGTACTGTCGCAAGTATATCATTTGCGCATTGTTCTATATTTATATTCTACAAAAGACTTGATAATTTTCAAAAACGATGAGGCCTTAAGTGTCACAAACAGAAAAGAGATAAGAACATGACGAATGCTACTCGTACACCTATTTAGGTTTTCAATTTCGAAATACACAATACGCTATCAATGAACTGAACTCGAATCATGGCTGAACGGAGCAGCCGTTTTCGTTGATTAAAAAAACAATTTTACCTCCATTTTTAGGATCGTGATTTTAATGGTCGCGAAGTGAAGGTTACAAATGTGTTAAAGTCTAACAATTTTATTGGATATATAATTTATTTTAATTTATGTTTTAATAAACAATAATGGTGCATAAATTTCAAGAACAAATAGTTCTTCCAGTCAGCCGAATACGATGTGTTACATCTCAAGTGAGTAAATGTTTAAAAAAAATAATTTTGACAATATCTTATTTTAGTTTATATTAATTATTGTAAATGTTTTTTCTTAAAAAGAATACTAGTCCAACGCCATTGTATTAATAGAAATTAATACTATCATCCGCAGTTTCTCCTACATTATATTATGTTTTTATTATTAATCTTTATCGCAAAAACTGAAATAGTTTTATTAATCTAACCACATACTTACTAAATTTATGTGAAAAAAATCGTTGCGTTTTTATCTTAAATAAATACATTAAAAATATTCCCAAAGTGGTTACGTTAATTTAGATTATCTTTCTGCTAACTGAATTCAACAATTTATAGGTTTCGGTCTCAAAAATTTAAACAGTGTATTCGGTTCCGTTGTGTTATTGTATCGTTCAAAGTAATAAGACCAGCTGTTGATTCTAACCTGCTTTCCATCACATTATGATTTTAAAAACAGGTTATTACCTAACTTACAAGTGCGTGTATGTGGAATTATAAACAACGTGGGTCCTGTTTTTTATAAAAAAAAGCTTTAAAATATTGTAGATAACCTCCTTGGGTTGGCTATAGATATCCGGTACTTGATTTTAGTTATGTTTTCAACTTAGGAGGCTTGTCAGGGTTAAGCATGAACATTTTAAACTGTTTTTGAATGTCGGAAATGCGTTTTTAATTAATTATGACAAAAACAAATTTCAATAAAAATTCCGTATAACGAAACGCAAATATGACAATTTTGTATAGTGTTATGAGATTAGATGTCAAAAACAGATGCAAAAAGTGTGAATCGGAACGGTTGTTGACGGCCATGTTGTCGGCAACCGTAAATGTCAAATATAATATATTATCTATGATGTCAAATGTAAATTGTCATTCCGTTTCTCTAGTAGTCACGCGAATGTTCTTTTTTGTGCTTAGTGCTGTGTTTTCCCTGTATTTTCGACGACTTCTGCTCTGTTTTTGGACTTCTTTGATTGCCCTTACGTTTGACCTTGGCTTTGTTTCTGGTTTTGATTGGATTGCATTACTTTGGACTTTGGCTTGCTTACCGGACCTGAGAATGAGCGATTACGAACCCGTAGCGGGGCCTTCTTCGGCATCTGACGCTTTACTCGAGGAACCATCACACATCGACGAAGACTTCTCTGACGACGGCGACTATGTGAAGCGTCGACTATACGTGTCTGAGATTATGTTCATGTGGAATCTGTCGGATATTGTGCGTGAACTTGGAACGAACGAGCAATGTGTTCGATATAGTGAGGATGAAGGGCTGGTCCTAAAGGAACGAAAGTGTGGCAAACATAAAACTAATATGAAAATTTCATACTCAAGTGGCTGCAAATCGCTTGGTACTTTCATATGTGCTAAAGCATCCTGTAAGGGGAAAGCTGGAGGCAGTGGAGTTAAAATCTCACGACGACAAGGGACTTTTTTTGAAAATGTAACTCTTGATATGCCCCACATATATTACCTCATATATGCATATTCACAAGGATGGTCTTATAATCAAACAATCCATGAAGACCCATATAAACGACAGAGACAACAATGTTTAAGCCCAAATACAATATGTGATTGGTACAATTACTGCAGAGAGGTAGTTGTTATTTACTACCTCGAGAAACAGAATGAGTTTACTGGAAAGATTGGTGGCCCTGGTAAAATTGTACAAATTGATGAGAGCAAATTTGGAAAACGAAAATACAATAAAGGTAAATATAAGTATGATTATGTTTACACCTTTTTTTGTCATACTAAATGTCTAATATTAATTTTATTTGTTATAGGACGTCACATCGAAGGCCACTGGGTGCTCGGTATGATAGACGATGGGTCTGAGGATCTCAGACTAGAGGTGTGCCCGGACAATATTAGGTCTGCTGAGGTACTGGTGCCGCTTATACAGAGACATGTGGCGGCGGGTACCACAATTCATACTGATTGTTGGCGGGCATATGATTGTTTGGCAGAACACGGGTACACACATAAAAAAGTTAACCACTCAGACCCAGACAATCCATTTGTGGCTGAAGATGGGACTCATACACAACGAATTGAGTCGCAGTGGAGAGCAGTGAAGAGGTTTTTTAGAAAACAAAATTATAATAATTCTCAAAGTTTTACAGACGTGATAGTAGAGTATTTGTGGAGACGAAATGTAGAAAAGTTTAAAAAGGATCCATTCAAAGAAATTATGCGAGCAATAAAGCATGTGTATAAAATAAATTAAATAATTAAAATTACATTGTTTCATTTACCACTATCATAGCAGAGTTTAGGGAAACCTGACTTTAGATAAGATAGATCGAATTTGTACTAAAACTGACTCAGAACACCCCGACTCCACGTAGTCTTGTCTGCCCTACCCCTAGAGTGTTTTTTAAAGCCGTAGGCGCGGAGGGAAAGCAGCCCCCGCCCGCTGTAGCAAATCGCAGGCCCCCGAGCGAGTCGTAGCGGCTGAGGCTGGTCGCCGAAGGCGACCAAAAAGCCGAAGCTGCGGAGGTGAGCATGGGGGCCTGCGATTTGCTACGCAAGGGCGATGGGGCTGCATTTCCCGTAGCGCCGAAGCCGTTACAGAAGTAACTTTGTGTCAATATTCCTATGTAAAAAAGTGAGGTTATGATTTTACAAAAGAAATTATTACTCATAAACTATACATTTCCGCAAGCGGGGAAGGGTAGGGGGGCTTCCCCTGACCTCCCCCTCCCCCTCCCCCTCCCAACCTCGTAGGCGAGTACCGGATGTCTATAGTTTAACCACTTCCTTCTACTTCGTTGCATTTTTTCATTTAGCAACTAGCTATTTCCCGCGACTTCGTCTGCGTGAAATTAATTTTTTTTTGCGCGGAACCCTAATTATTTTTCTAAAATAAAAGCAGCCTTTGTTACTATACCCCTTTTAAATATATCTGCCAGGGAAAGTTCCGTCAAAATCGGTCCAGCCATTTCGGAAATTAGCCGGAACAAACAGACAGACAGACAAAAATTTAAATTGGTTTTTGTTATAAGTTTCATACGCGGTATGGCTTTACCACGTACGAAACTTGCAGCTGTACTAGTAGTATAGTTGTAGCACGAATGGGTCGGCTCGACCGGGGAAGGACTACGCTCTTACAGAATACCAGCGTAAAATAGCTGCTTAACACTGCTGTTTCGTATGGTGTAGATGATGGAGATGATGGAGATGGAGTGTAGAGAACTGGAGAACCTTTATACTGGAAAAGAGGCATTCCGTCTTAGTCCTCACGGGTGACAACGTATCTGCGTTCTGATTCTTTCTTGAGGATAGTTGTAGATGTCTATGGGTCACACCAACCACTTACGGTCAGGTAGACTGTGTGCTTTTTTATTACCCTCTCCTATAAAAAAATACTTTCATATGCATTTACTAAATAGCTGTTATTTTGACAATAAAAAAAAAAACACTCCAATTTTATTTATTTGTATGTGTTTATGAATGCAAATTAAAGTAAGGATAGTTGAAAATAATTATTTATTATTATAACGTCGTCTTGTAAAAACCTTCATTGTGTAACTCCTTTAAAAATAACGGAAATATTATATAAACTTTTTAGAACTATGGAAGAGTAATTATTTAGTGCAAGTTAGAAATAAAACAAATGATCTAAATCGTAGCTTATGCTAATATCACTCATATGTTTACGGCTTTATATTGCACTTTGTAACCCGATAAGATTGATAACGCATTAGATTAGCGTTTGGCTGCGGCTATGGAGGCCGCGGGGTCGAATCCCGCATGGAACCAGTAGTGTTTTTATGGCCTTAAAAAAAATTCCAAATCTAGATATTTATATGCAATTTATGTATTTCAAAGACCACTCCAACTCTTACATCAACTAGGGAAAATCTCAGTATGGTGTCTAGATTTGGTAATAACTTAATTATAAAATTAATAAATAATAGAAAAATATTATTTATTATTTAAAAAAAAATCGTTAAACATTATGTCACTTCATTGGAAAATTCATATTTGAAATACAATCACATAAATCAACACTCCGTTATGTTATTAAGAACACATTAAATAGTGCTACGACCTACTCGTTCAAATTCCGTATCAATTATTTCGTATCAATTACATAAAATGCTTGTAATCAGAGACGTCCGACTTGAGATGGCTTATAACATGTCCTAATATGAAATGTTTTATATGATTAATTAATTAATTATCTATATGATTATCAAAGATTACCTATACTAAATATTTTCAGAGCTTTAAAATTTTGAGTCTTCCAAACGACCCTGGTGTGGTTATTGCAAGACTTTAGATTAACAGCGTGCTAACCAAATAGGATGGGTCCCATTTATTTTATAGCATAATTAATAAAAAAAAACCTTTAGGAAAAATAAAATGACTTATATTTGAGAAGCAATAATATATTAATAAATTTAACCTTTACAATGTCAAAATTTGAGTATTTATTATCAGAATTTATTTCAATTACTACATTTTACTTAACATGCTCCAGACTTACATTTTGTCATTGTAAAGTTTGAGTTTAAGCTCTGAATTGTCATGACAATGCAGCCCATTGTCATGACAAATTAGAGCGAATTAATCGTAATACCTAGTCAGGTCATAAATTCTGTCACATGTTTAATATAAAATAATTGAAACAAGTTTATTCATTATGTAACCATTTATATACCAAAATGAACTTAACAATACATAGATTCTTATGACACTAAAGTTTATTCACAATGACCTCCGTCATTTTGAATACAGGCCTTCAATCTGCGCGGCCAGTCGTCTATCGCAGCACGAACGAGGTCCATGTCAATATCGGCGGCTGCCTTAATCAAGGATGTCTTGAGTGACTCCAAATTGGGATGAGGCTTTGAGCACGCCTTTTCTTCCAAGTGTTGCCATATCTTGTAATCTAACGGATTCAAATCTGGACTGGAGGAGGGCCAGTCTTCGTGCCGGATGAAGTCGATTTCACGCGCCGCGAGCCAGTCTTGTGTGCTCTTCGC